GAGTCAAAAGCATTTCAATAATTTAAGACAAAGACCACATGGGAAAAAAATCCAAAACTTCATAGTCTTAACACACACAAGCAAATGTGTATTTACTCATTACTTTTGTCAGCTGAGATTTAGTCAAATTTATTAAAAGCCAGCCTTGAACACTAAGATTACTCATTTTATTGAAAGACTGATTTTTCTAATACTTTTAGCATTATAGGTTTTCTTTTTAATCAGCATCTGTGCCACAGGCAGCATTCTGTATTTCATATTTACAGCTACGAATACTCAGCAAGTAACCACAAATATTCTACAAGCTTTAAAAAAACCCAGAGCGGATTACTGAATAAAAAACAACTATTACAATACATCCCCGATCTTGTAGTCAGATCAACACAGATCATCTCCCTCCACACAAAAAGCCATCAGCACTTGTTAACAGTTTGCTGGCAATGTTTTTGGTATTCCAGATAGATTTCTCCATTCTATATAAAATAATCACTACAAATACTTTTTATCTAATTTTGTAAGGGTTACTCCAAAACCATAAACACTTTAGCTAATTGCTACTATTCCACAGAGCTCTGGGACTGGTTTATATAAGACCTTGTTTTAATGATACCTCATTACAATAAGGACAAAACCGTCTTATTTTGCAATCTCCATATTAAATTTCATGCGTGCATAAGGAATATTCTAAGATGAAAAGCTACTCAAGAGAGCATCCATTCTCCTAATTTGTGTCTTTCACCTTGTACCACCAGGAAGCTTTTGCCTAAATCTTAGATTGCACGTACAGAAACTGAAATACAATTAATGCTCTATTATCCGTGAGAAGATTATGCAAATTGTAGGTTAAGCAGGGTCAGGGTTTTTTACCAAAACACCTCTGGCTTCCACAAAGTACAGTGCTGCTTCGGTAAGACCCCATACTTACTATCTGTTGCTACTGTAAGGTTGTTCCCCCACAGAAAGCTATCCACAAATTTTAAAAAAGGTACATAATTCCAAGTGTATCCCTGTAATTTAATTTACCTTATTTACCTTACCATTTTTCCCCTTTATCTAGGTTATCTTTTCTCTCTCCCAGTTATTCCTATGAATAGCATAGAATTTACTGCCTCTACCACAAATACTCAATTTTTAGATCTTTTCACAGAATCACAGAATCATCTAGGTTGGAAAAGACCTTGAAGATCATCTAGTCCAACCATTAAACATAAAAAAAAACATTTAAAAATCCTCTGGAGCCCTCCAGTACTCAAAACAGCACCTTATTTGAAATTCTTGACAAACATTTTTGTTCTCAAGTATTTCACAAGCTGTTGGTGACTCCGGTTAAAAACAGCTTTCAAGGAAAAACACTGCTATGATGCCCTCCCCCCTCCCCAACCAGTCTTTCCCACAAACCGTGACCACCAGAAGAGCCAGTATTCCAGCTGCTGAGGGGTTCCCTGGGAGCCCAGATTGGTATGACTGAGCTGATGGCATCTTCAGGTACTAAACCAGAGCTGTTCATGGCTTTTGACCTGTTGGGAATTCCAGAGGTGCACTGGGGGAAGTTGAGTTTTCGCTTGGGAACAGGATTAGAAGATAGGGGATGTCAGCAAAACAGTTCTTGTCCTCACTGCTCATACCACTAAGCAAACATTCCACCCACAAATCTTAAAACAATTAGAAGAAAAAGCACAACCCAACTTTTGTCCAAATTGAGCTTGAGGTAAATTAACAGCATGTATGAACAACATCAACAACAGCACAGTTAACAGACACCATATGTTTTATAAAAACTTTTCAGAGATTAAAAAAATAATAAGCTTCTTAGAGTTTCACTAAGCACATGATAATTCTGTCAAAATCACCAAATGCATTTGGACAAACATAAAACTTCAAACAAGTGGTAATAGACGAAGGAAACTACCAGGTCAAAACACAACTTTAGAATCTGAGATGAAAGGGGGGGGGGGAAACCTCACACCTTTCAATCTGCCCCAAAAGAACACTGTTAATGTGCATGAAATTCACGCCTCCCATTTTGAACATACCAAAGTGACAGTAAAGAGTGTACATAACACTGATGTTTGTCATTGACATGGCTACGAACTAAGTAGATTCTTAAAAAGAATGCAGTCTCTGTGCTGCGTAGGACTGTAGCTTTGGTGAACAGCTCAAATTAGGCAATTTTGTAATTAAAAACAACAGAAGAAATACAAAACCAGACAGATTAAGTGGCTTGACAGACATGATAGATAAGATCAGTGGACAAAAAGCAGAGTTACTGCTCAAATCCTGGCTTGGTGTTTAATAAATTAAATCAACTGCATCATTTACCACACGTCCCTTCTGTCTCATTGTTAATATTCATAAAAACATCATTTGCTGCTAAAAAGACTCCAAAACATGTTTGGCTTAAGTGATAATGTTACCTGTGGTTGGGAATTTTTTTCCCCTTTTCTGTTTTTTTAATTTAAACAGAAATCCAGCAATTATATGAACGACCATAACTCCAGAATACTCTGTATTTTCAGTAGCAAATTCACTGTAAGGATATAGCTCAACAAGCATTTTAAGCAAGCATAAGCCTGATACTGCCTCTAAATGATTCTTTACCACATTTGTGGAGGCACATGGAGAAGCAGATTGGAGAATCGCTCCAGCTGGAAACTAACATAACAAAATTATACCGATTATTTTCAGCCACAGCATTTTTTTGACTTAGCTTACTGTCTGGCTGCCAAAAAACTGTTTCTTCTGCCAAGGGGTACGCAAAAACAAGGACAAATGCAATAATGAAAGCAACATCTTTTCTTCCTGTGGCAGCAACAACTTATGCCACTGTAAAGTATTTATGTAGCCTTGGATTAAAAATGCCATTGTAGTCATGGCATTCATTCTTGCCAAGGAAACTCTTTCTCTGGCCATGAACTAACCTGTTTGCTAAGTGATTCAGTCTTAAGAAACACTTTCTGGTTTGAGTTTGGGTTGGTTTTTTTTTTTTTCAATAAAACAATTTTACAGAAGTTAGGTAGACAATGGGACTGTGCATCACTGAACTGGCAAACCCGAGGGCACCTCTTCGAGATAACATGAGTTCATAGTAAACCCAATCTACTTCTTTCTAAACTAACAGAACCAGTCTTAGAAGAGGCCTTAGCTCAAAGAGCAAGGAAAGCTTTTGTGAAAGAAAAAAACCCAACACTCTCTCTCTCTCACACTCTCTCATACAAACATGTAGTTTTGATTCAGCTGTAGATTTTAGAAAGCAGTGTTGTTTTCGTACAGGATTTTGTACCCTCCACTTCATCCCGCCTTCCCCCTCCTTTTTTTTTTTTTTTCTCTTTCAGAGTCAACCCCAAAATATGAACAATGCTAAGTGGAGACACAAGAACAAACACACTAAGGACTTTGAAATTAAACTTTAATCTACTTTTAATTCATTGTATTTTAATCACCAAAGGAACTGGCACCTGTCAACCACTGACAATGCACTGTAATTACTGCATCTAGCTATGTAGATTTAGTATATTTATTTACTGTTGCTCATAACTTAGATGTCCATAGACAAAGCTTTATATTGGCTTATAAAGAAAAAAAAAACAACGAGTAAAAAAAGTTTCTTGTAGAAATAAATAGTTACTCCTGCACCCTGATCTAAGTTTTATAGTCCAGATGGCAGGTCATGACACCTCTTCAGGTTGAATTTATGCTCCTCAAAGCCTTAGAAATGTTGTTAGAGGAGCCAGGAATTTGCCCACAGAGCCAACTCCAGCTCCAAAGATTGCTCTTTAACTGCTCTGGTTATGTGGAGATACCAATTTAAACATGAGTACTTTTTAAGTGCAACTCTTGCTATAAAGTGTTTGTAGGCATTCCTGGCCTCAAATCAAACATCCTAGGCACTAAGCAGCACTGGATATGTTCATTACATTGTTTCAGAGATGTACAAATTAGTTTTACTGCCCTCTATAAACACCTATCTGTATAGTCATTTCACAAATGCAGATGCCAAGCTATTTCTTTAACTCCAGAATACTTGGGACTCTGGATATCTCCAGTTATTTCCGCTCACTCTGTCAACAACGCCCCTCAATACTTAAACGAACTGAGCCTTCCTCAGGCTAACTTCATAAAACACTCTAGAACTGTGTTTAAAATAGAAAGAGAGAAAAGAAAAGCTGTTTCAGGAGTGGCTGCTCCACACGCTCTTCCTAGGCAGCAGCTCCAACATCAGCAGAACTGTTACTACACCCAAATCCTACGGAATTTACTTCGGTCTCACAGACCTACAGCTTCCTAACTCAGCCATGTGAGCTCAAAACAAGTCACTAACAACTATAACACGTGGTAATGGAAAAACAGAGCACATCACTTCCATTGCCACTGTTCATCCTGTGGGCCAAAACCAGGTACGTAATTAAGCAAAGCAGAACAGACACGTGTATATTAAGGGAGCTTTAGAAATGTAAAACAGTGGCTAACATCTCACTCCCAATAAAGCACTGTGCTGTGAGACAATCTCTGCTATATAATCTGCCCTAAGGAGGGGAAGGAAGTAGAATTCTTCTCTTCCCCTACCCTCTCAAGTTAGTGTTAAAAACTGCATCCATCCCTGACATAAAATCAAAACAAACAAAACCAACACAGAAATTACTGCTAGTACTTCTGTCCTTCCACAGTTACACCAAGAGGTCTACCTTCCTTCTCAAAGTACATGTATAGCTCACTAAAAAGAAAATCCAGTTCATCCAAAAAACATTACCCTCTCAAGTTAAGCCTTAGCACAACAGTTACGTTAACACACTAGAAAGCGTTCAATGTATAGGGCATAATGACACCTAACAAAACACTCTCTAGTTTCAGTGAATAACAAAAGTTAACTGTTCTGTCAGTAACTTATGACCAGCAACTTACTAGATGTTAAGTCACAGGACTGCTTACTGTGACAAACAGACATGCCTCTACCTAACTTGTAAACAGCCGAGGACAATCAGATTGACACTAGCTTGCATCACTCGTACCGGTAAGTCCACGCTGACATCTGTTCCATCCAGCAGCGCTACTCGGCAGGTAATGATGGACTTTGCATCCCCAGCTGCAGGGATGTGAGTTGCAGCTCTTTGGGCCTCTCTCAGCCGTTCTTTCTCCGCATGCTTACGCATAGACCGCCGTCCGAGGGTTCGACGGAAAAAGCTCAGCATCTTTGCTATGAAATGCAAGACAGATAAAGAGTACGTTGGTTTTTCACAGAAAAAAATATATAACAGCCTGAATTTAGTGTTCTTAGAAAATGCCTGACTTTGATAAAGAGCTGTTGGAGATTCAAACTGCTGTTTCACTTCTTCGAATTTAAATACCCGCACCCTTTGGCTACTTTGAAAAAACTTAGCTCAAACCTCTGATGGTAGTTGGGGTGATTGTTGTGACAATCTGAAAGTACGTTCGGGAAAAATCCAGCGATCACGCAGATCTCACACAATTAACTGCAACGCTTCATTAACACAAACGCTACCGCGCTCTTCGGCAAGATGGTGATGCTCTCTCCAAGCTAGAAACAACTCAGAACTGCACTCGCAATTTCCTTGGCTGGCGTACCCATCCCTCTTTCATCGAAAAAAAGTTACGAACGGCCCTTCCCGCCCAGGACTTCGCTTCCAGGCCGGGCTCAGGTGCGGAGCCTCCCAAGCAAAGGCTTCGCGCAGGCAGGCGAGCGCCTTTCG